GCTGTGGCCAGGGAGCCCGGCAGGGTGGGGGTGTGCAGAAGTCAACCCCACTGCACGGCTCCGGGGCTGCGGTCGTGCTGCTGACCCCGCTGTGTCCCTTCCCGCAGGGCCTGGTCTACGCAGCCACCTACACAGCGGTGGCTCAGGTGCCCTTTGCCAACTGCAGCCTGTACCGCAGCTGTGGCGAGTGCGTGCTGGCACGAGATCCCTTCTGCGCATGGAGCCGGGGTGCCTGCCGCAGGGCCACTCTGCACCCCCCCGCACACCCCCAGTAAGTGCTGCACCCCTCTCCATCCCCCTGCACCCCATGGCACCCTGTGGCACCCCGCAGCACCCCACTGCCCTGACCCCTCTCTGTCCCCAGGTTCTGGGCGCAGGACATTGAGGATGCTGACACGGAGCGGCTCTGCCAGCTGGCCAATGCCTCTCAGCCCCGTCCCCGCGTCCTCCTGCCCCCAGGTGAGCTCCTACAGGTTCTGTCCCTGGGGCTGGGGCCGCTGCCAGCCCGGGGTGGCCCGGGGGCTCCCACGTGCCCCAGGCTCCCACTCAGCCCTCCCCATCACGCTCGCGTCCACCACCGGGGTCCTCACGGCCTCACTGATGTTGCCATGGGTTGTCTCCCCGCAGCCTCGGGCTCCCCATGCCAGCGGATCCAGCTGCCACCCAACGCAGTGCGGCCACTGCCATGCCGGCTGCTCTCCAACCTCGCCTCACGGCGCTGGCTGCACGATAGGGTGCCCGTCAACGCCTCCTACCTGGTGCTGCCTGACGGGGCCCTCATCCTGGTGGGCAGCCCCGAGCGGGCGGGCACCTACGAGTGCTGGTCGCTGGAAGAGGGCTTCCGCAAGCTGATGGCCAGCTACTGCGTGAGCATGCAGGAGCCGGCCCACGGGCTGCCGAACCCCAGCAGGAAGGTGGCCACTGGTCGAGACGCCCTGGAGACTGTCAGCACCTCCCGGAGCACCTCTGCGGTGGGCAGTGCCGCAGCCCGGCTGGATGGCAAGACCTACTGGACCGAGTTCCTGGTGATGTGCGTGCTCTTTGCTGCTGCCGTCCTTGTGTTGGCCCTCTTCCTCCTGCACCGGCACCGTGACGGCATGAAAGCCTTGCTGGAGCCCGGCGACCCCAGCCGGCACCAGAAGCCGCCCCGCAAGCCGGTGGAGAGCCTGCCCCTGAATGGTAGCAGCCTGCCCAGTGCAGTGCCCGAGCACAAGGGCTACCAGGCCCTGCAGGACAACTACATTGTCAGCACCCCTGTGCATGAGCCCCTGGGCCCCCCACGCGCCTTCTCCGAATCGGAGAAGAGGCCCCTCCATGTCCGGGACAGCTTCGTGGAGGTGTCTCCTGCCTGCCAAAGACCCCGGGTGCGCCTGGGCTCCGAGATCCAGGACTCGGTGGTGTGACGGGGACTCCAGGACTCGGTGGTGGGACGGGGACAAGAGCCGAGCCCTCTCCCATGACCGCCTCTGCTCTGCTGAGCCTTGATGGACCACAGCGCCGCGGCTGGGGTCCGTGTTGTCTGTGTGTGCATGCCGGCGCCGGCCAGGACTCGGTGGTGGGACGGGGACAAGAGCCGAGCCCTCTCCCACCCCCGCCTCTGCTCTGCTGAGCCTTGATGGACCACAGCGCCGCGGCTGGGGTCCGTGTTGTCTGTGTGTGCATGCCCGGAGCCTGCGCCTTGCTGTGGCACCCACCCAGCCAGTGGGGCCGGCCCCATGTCACCCCATCGGGGCTTGGCTTCCCTGGGAGCTCCCTGGGCATCACCTTGGCTGCTCCGGCCCTGCTCCTTGGGACGGTGCTGGCGGCGAGGGGTGCTGCGTGCCTTCCAGGGACATGCGGGACTTTTTTCCCCCAGCCAGGCATCCTCGCTGCGGGGACGGACACGGCGCCCAGCTCAGGCTGCTGGCGGGGCCCTGGCCCCCTCTATGCAGAGGGCAGGAGGGGGTGGCCGCAGCCCCCTCGTGCCCCAACTCACTGTGACGTTCCGCTGTGGGACCCGGAGCCACACGTGCGGCCGGGTGGTGCCGGCGCAGCAACCCTGCGGCATGTGCTGTGTGTCTGTGCTTGGTTCGTTTTTAATACGTTGAAAATGTGAATCGTGTCCTGGGGAGGGAGCAGGGAGCAGCGCTCGCCCCGCACCGGGCTGGGCAGCGGCTCACCCCTCGTGTCCCCATGTGCGTGTGCAGAAACGTCTGTGGTTTTTATATAAAGTCCAGGTGTCTCCTTTGGAAGCGTGTGTGCTGCTGCAGTGGGGCTGGGTGCCTTCCCGGGGCCAACCGTGGCCAGGACCATCCCAGCGGCCCCACAGAGAGGAACCGTGTCCGGCTCTTGCTGCGGCCGGGGGAAAACCTGCCCATGGCCTGCTGGTCCTTGCCCAGGCAGGGACAGACAGACGGACGGGGCAGGAGGGTTGTGCTGAGAGTCAGATCTGCAGGCTGTGAAGTCCCCGTGTGCTTGGCTGAGTGTTGGGCTGGGGCACACGGGGTCCCACAGGGAGGTGCCTGTGTGCCCTTGTGGTGATGCTGCCCAGGGCTGGTGCCAGAGGGTCCCTGTGACCCCGCTGTCAGGGTGTCATGCACCCATGGCGGTGAGCTCAGGCAGCACTCAGCTGTGTTGGGGCTGTGCGTGGAGGCACGTGCTGCGGTGGGCAGTCTGGTGAGGGCAGAGTGGAGTGGCCCCCACGGTGGAGGAAGCTGCAGAGCGATGGGGTGGTGCTGTCCCAGAACTGCGAGAAGCAGAGGAAGGCAGAGGTGACCAGGAGGAAGAAAAGTGGGTGCCTGGGGCTGGGAGCAGGGCAGCCTCCGGCAGAAGAGGGGCTGTGGCAGCCCCCGTCCCGAGGACCATGGTGTTGTGCTACACGTGGAACCCCACTGAAAACCCAGGGAACAGGCATGTCCTTGTCCCCATCCCGCACAGCTGCAGGCAGATCCCAGCCACTTTGCCAGCGGGACCCGACTCTGTGACAGCTGACGGCCGGGACCGGGACCTGCGGTGTGGCACTGCTCATGAGCTCTCGTGCCTGGGAAGCGCCGGCAGTGTGAGCATGGGGCTGGGGTAAGTGGTGAGCTCCACACTGAGCTAGCGTGTTGGGGCAGGCTTCCCCCCGGGGACCAGCACTGCCTCGCTCCCAGCTGGACCAACGCACCAAACTTCCTGCCCAGCCTGTTCTGGGACATCAAAAAAGCTACTGGAAGCGCTGGCTGGTGCTGTGCCAGCAGACATGGCCCCCAGGGCCGCAGGGGTGCAGGCCATGGCGGGCAGATACCACCAGCACCGTGGGGCACCGAGCTGGAAGGGCCAGCACCACCGGGAGCGAGGAGCCGGTACGTGAGAAACGGCCACCCCGGCGCCCCGAGACAGCCGTCAGCCATACCACCCTGGTGCAGGTGCTCCCGTGGGTCGAACCGGCCCCCAGGCCCAGGCACCGCACCGGCCCCGGCATGTGATGCCACAGCCCAGACATCGCCTTGCAGAGCAGCTCCAGCGAGGAGGCTTGCCGGTGTGGTGGGAGTGCTGCTAGGGGCAGCCAGGCTGGCTGGGGGCTCGCTGCGAAACGCAGGCAGGGCCAGTGCCTGCAGCTGGCAGTGGGCCAGGGCGAAGCCTGATGGATGAACAGACACAAAGGGCTCCGGCGCTGCCCGCAGCAAAGGTAGCTGCCTGCCTGCCCTGGATTTCCCTTTGTGCCTCTTGCTCGAGAGCCGAGCTCTTTGTGCTGCTGAGAACAATCCCTGGTTTTGGAGGAGGGAGGTGGCCCATGGAAAGGGCTGTCACCGAGCGGGATGTGGGACCTGTCCCCTGGCGCTGCGGGCTGGCGTGCAGGCAGAGGGGCCTGGCAGGAGGCTGTGTCCCCAGCACCCCTCGTGGCCTGGTCCCACAGCGCTGCTGGAGCAGCCCCCTCCGCTGTCCCCGCAGCCAGACAAAGGCGGCACAGAGCAGAGGGTGAAACCAGAGCCCTTTATTTGTGTCTCGCAGGAGCAGAAGGAGGAAGAGGCCAGGGCAGGCAGAGCAGCTGCTGAGCTTGAGCCAGAGGAGGGGGCAGAGGAGAAAAGGAGAGCAGGCCCCACGCGTCCCTGGGGTGAGCCTGGCTGCGCTGCCCATGGGGCTGTGCCTCGCTGGTCGGGGGAGGAAGGCGTCCTGTGTCCTTTTTCCGTTGGGGGGGGGGGGG